TGCAATATTTCTGTAAGTAGTCTTTAAATTTCTTCCAATCTTCTTCCACCGACTCTTCTCCCTGGTCTCGGATTCTGCCAGTCATTTCCGCCAATTCCATATAGTCCATCATTTTCATCTGCCATTCCTCCAGTGTGGGTAGATCTTGTGTCTTCCAATGTTTTGCAATAAGTATTCCTGCTGCTGTTGTAGCATACATAAAGAAAGTTCTGTCCTTCTTTAACACTGATTGGCTGACTATGTCCATTCGGAATCTTCTTTCTTATAATTTGAATTCTCTTGTCAGGGTCCAACCTTCTGGAGCGGTGGAACTCAAGTTTTCTCCATCTTCCATGTGGCAGCCATTTGAAGATATAATAATAATAATAATAATAATAATAATAATAATAATAATTTATTTATATCCTGCCCATCCTCCCCAGCCACTCTCATATCTCCTCTTATCTAGGCTCAACATACCCAACTCCAGATAATTAAGAAGGTACTTGAAAGTATTAAACAGGCCGAGGATTATCAGAAGAATGTTGTATAGTAAGATGGAGTTAAAACAATAAGAAAAGAGATGAAGATAGTAAATTGAAGGAACTGATTGTAATAGAAAGATGACTGGGAAAACTGTTACAAGGGAATATAATGAAATTCAGTTAGGGAGGATTTGAGGAAGTCACACAACAATGGAATTTAAAATTAATATAAGAAAGAATATGTGTTTTTATTTTTTATTTTTCTTGTAGCATTGTAATGTGTTTTGTTTTGTATGTTTTATATGTTATATGTGTTATAGATGTGGAAAAGCATTAAAAAAAATTTTGGGGAAAAATAAACATACCCAACTCTCTCAACTGTTCCTCATAAGGCTTGGCTGCTGGACCCTTAATCATCTTGGTCAAACACACACCCCTCTGCACACGTTCCAGCTGGTCAATATCCTCCTTAAATTGTGGTGCCCAGAACAGGACACAGTATTCCAGGTGTGGTCTGAACAAGACAGAATAGAGTGGCACTTTTTATTTCCGTGATCTGGACACTATACTTCTGTTGATGCAGCCGAGAATAGTATTCACTTTTTGTGCTGCTGCTGTGGGAATGTTCAGGGAGGCAGGAGAGGATATACTGTTTATTAATATCCTTCCTAAATTGCGCTAGCAAGTGCTATAACTTAGCAGAGTTTTAACATTCCCCTTTGAAACGCACAACGGGTAGCTGGTTGCAGGCTTGTTTAAGCTTCTCAATACAGTGGTACCTTGGGTTAAGTACTTAATTCGTTCCAGAGGTCCATTCTTAACCTGAAACTGTTCTTAACCTGAAGCACCACTTTAGCTAATGGGGCCTCCTGCTGCTGCTGCGCCGCCGGAGCACGATTTCTGTTCTTATCCTGAAGCAAAGTTCTTAACCTGAAGCACTATTTCTGGGTTAGCGGAGTCTGTAACCTGAAGCGTATGTAACCTGAAGCGTATGTAACCCGAGGTACCACTGTATAGATTCCTGGTTGTTGTTGTTTAGTCGTTTAGTTGTGTCCGACTCTTCGTGACCCCCTGGACCTGAGCACGCCAGGCACTCCTGTCTTCCACTGCCTCCCGCAGTTTGGTCAAACTCATGCTGGTAGCTTCGAGAACACTGTCCCACCATCTCGTCCTCTGTCGTCCCCTTCTCCTTGTGCCCTCCGTCTTCCCAACATCAGGGTCTTTTCCAGGGAGTCTTCTCTTCTCATGAGGTGGCCAAAGTCTTGGAGCCTCAGCTTCAGGATCTGTCCTTCCAGTGAGCACTCAGGGCTGATTTCCTTCAGAATGGAGTGGTTTGATCTTCTTGCAGTCCATGGGACTCTCAAGAGTCTCCTCCAGCACCATAATTCAAAAAGATTCCTGGTAAAATCCCTTTATTTCCCTCTTAAAAGAATGAACACGCCACAATCTTATTTAAGATCTATAAAAGTAGTTTACTCACAGCAGCGGCATCAGTTAACAGTTGGATCCCTGAAGGCAGACTTAATTACAAAGATACATACATGTGGATTTACCCCATATGTGGGGATAATCCCAGTGACTGCAGACTAGAAGTCGCTTCAGCTCACACGACAGATAAAGTCAAGGAGAGGAAGAAAAGAAAAGAAAAGAAAAGGTAGAGATGGCTGCATGCCTTGTCCTTTTGTGTTACCTGCACAGGTAAGGTCACGCCCACCTCTCGTCACATGCAAGAGGAAGGATGCTCCAGGCCCGAGGAAACAGGAAGTTTTCAACTGGCTGGAAGAAACATCCCCTTTGCATGTCCACTCTAGGCAAACAAGGAATGTTGTACTTGACTGCTACTTATGTATCACATCCCACAGCTTCATCACACTGTGGACTCATGTTTAGCTTGTGGTCTACTAAGACCCCCTAGATCCTTTTCCTATGCACTGCTGGCAATCCAGGTGTCCCCCAGCCTAAATTTGTGCTGCTGGTTCTTCCTGCAAAATTGTAGAACCTTACATTTGTCCCTGTTGGATTTCATTCTGTTAGTTTGGTCCAGTTCTCCAATCTGTTGGGGTCATTTTGAATCCCGATTCTGTCTTCTGCTACCCCACCCAGCTTGGTGTCTTCTGCAAATTTGATGAGCATCCTCTTAGTTCCTTCATCCAATTCGTATATGAAGACGTTGAACAACAATGGGCCCAGGATAGAACCCTGCGGCACCCCACTTTGTCACTTTTTCCCAGGATGTTGTTGTTGTTCTTTAATCGTTTAGTCGTGTCCGACTCTTCGTGACCCCCTGGGTTCAGCTGCCCAGAGTGCCTGAGGCAAGCCAGGCAGATGAGCGGGGTATAAATAACAACATTATTATGATTATTATTCAATCAGTGTTATGTACTGAGTTGAATAGGATGCAAAAGGCAGCAGTCTGATTGGTCCTAGAACAATAGGATTCAGAATGAAGCAGTCTGATTGGTTCTAGAACAATAGGATTCAGAATGCAGCAGTCTGATTGGTCCTAGAACAATAGGGTTCAGAATGCAACAGTCTGATTGGTCCACAGGAGCCACCCAATCCAGCTCCAGGTGGAAGTGAATCCACAACCTGATTGGTCCACAAGTGAATCCTGGAATTAGCCAATCACATGGGGCCCATTGTGTAAATAATGTATATAAAGCAGACATTCTGGGGGAACTTCCATTCCTCCTCACCACTATGAGCTGAATAAAGAGCATGAAATCCACTCTCGACTCCGAGTATATTTCAATCAGCCAACCAGCTACAAATCCACCTAACTGTTACCCCATCCATCCTGCATTTTACCAGCTTCTCCACAAAAATATAATGGGGGCCTTTGTCAAAGATTACCAGAAAGGTCATGACTTGAGAGTTACCCTGTTAAGAAATGTTAAATAAAAGTCTACGGTTTGCTGTGTGGTCAGTAATCATCCTTTTTTGTACAATAAGCATATGCAGTAAGCCAGACTGTGTGTTTGGGAAAAGGTCTCCTTGTTTAATTATTCTTCATATAATTATCCAGTCAGTTTATCCATTAGGGCCATGTCCCAGATTTGATTCAGCCACATTTCATATAGGTCAGCATTGAGGGTTCAATGGCTCCTGGCAACAGCCAAGTGAGCAGCTGTTATTTATTATAATAACAGCTTTTTAACTGAGCATTCTTCAGCATCTCCTTCAAGTATATTGAATCCTTTTTTAAAGCCCTCCAAGTTGGTGACCACCATTGCCAAACCCTCCAAGTGCCCTTATTTTCCAGGGTCAGTCCCGGATTTACAGAAGCTGTCCCGGTTTCTGATCTAGGAATGCCCCGCTCCTATTTTCACCAGAGATATGTTGGAGGGTGTGGAGTTATGTGAGCCTTGAAACAAGGAGATAAGTAACTATACAACCTTTAGAAGACATCTGAAGGCAGCCCTGTCTAGGGAAGTTGTTTACTATTTTATGATGTTTTTATATCCCACTCGTTGGATCATCACCTTGTACTACCAACCTTACTATATGCTTGTGAAACATGGACCACTTATAGACGCCACCTCCAACTCCTCGAAAGATTCCATCAACGGTGTTTCTGAAAATTTTTACACATTACTTGGGAAGACAGGCAAACTAATATCAGTGTACTGGAAGAAGCAAAGATCACCAGTGTTGAAGCAATGATTCTTCAACATCAACTTCGATGGACTGGTCATGTTGTGTGGGTGCCTGATGATTGTCTTCCAAAGCAACTACTCTCTTCCGAACTTAAAAATGGAAAGCATATTGCTGGTGGTCAACAAAAGATGTTTAAAGACTGTCTCAAGGTAAATCTTAAAAAATGTAGTATAAACACTGACAACTGAGAAACACTGGCCTGCGAGCGTTCCAGTTGGAGAACAGCCTTTGCCAAAGGTGTCACGGGCTTTGTGTCACTCGAACTCAGGACGTAAGGGAGAAACATGCTAAGAGGAAGGCATGCTTGGCAAACCCTCACCATGATCAACTCCTGCCCGGATACCAATGTCCCCACTGTGGAAGGACGTGTGGATCCAGAATTGGCCTCCACAGTCACTTACGGACTCATTGTTAAAACTGTGTTTATGGAAGACAATCTTACTCGACTGCGAGTGATCGCCAAAGAAGAGGAATGTATCTATGTTTTGTTTTGTTTTGGTAAATCTTTATTGGTTTAAAATACAAACGTAAAGGATCATTTACAACGAAGGTAAGTATAGGAAAGTTAAATACAAAAGAAGAAAATGTATCTATGTTTTTTTATATGTTGGAAGCCTCTCAGAGTGGCTGGGGCAAACCAGTCAGATGGGTGGGGAATAATAATAATAATAATAATAATAATAATAATAATAATGGAATAGGACATCCCTCTTTTCATCAGAGAAGCGTTGGAGGATATGCACTGCATCCTGTTACACAGCAACAACCTTTCCTGGGCCTTGCGGAATCGTGACGGGAAGTGATGTTTGCCAACATTCTTCCTTCCGCTCGCAACTATTGAAAATAAAGAGATCTCTGTTCTGTGCCTGGAACCTTGTGAGTCTTCCGCTAACTGCCTCAACTGTCGCTCCCAATGCTGGCTTGAACATCTGCCCCAGAATATTGCCTCCCCAAAACAGGCAGAGGCAAGGGAGTCACATCACCCTTCCACCCAATGGAGCATCTTTCTCACTGATGTGCATTCAGCACGGACGATGCTTACGGGGCCACGTGATAACTCGACTCTTCCACCTCCTGAGGTTCTGCAGCCACCAGTGAAGTTCCATTGTGCAGCCAGCTGAGGCCACTTTGCCACTGTGGGCAGCCGTCATCCAACAGCCACAACACCAGGTGACTTTTGATTTTGTGGTGGTGTCGAGGAGGAGGATGTTGGGGGCCCTGGAGCTAAGTTGAGGGCTCAGTCTGGGCCCTGTCTGGGTAGGAGGCTGCTGGAACACCTTCAGGAATGGTTCTGAATTTCCCGAAGGAAGTCTAGGAAAAGAAGCAGCAAATATCTCGGTTGTGCAGAGGAAGATGCTGGACTCTTGAGTTAGAACATAGGTCTGTACCGACTGCACTAAGAGTGGCAGATTCTAGGCGCAGCCTTTCTCAACCTGTGGGTCCCCAGATGTTGAACTACAACTCCCATCACCCCTAGCTAGCAAGGCCAGAGCTCAGGGATGATGGGAGTTGTAGTCCAACAACATCTGGGATCCCACAGGTTGAGAACCGCTGCTAGGGTTTCAGACTGACGTGTTTTCCATTACAAGCCATAGATGCCAGGGATTGAACATGGCACCTTCTGCATGCCAATACAGCTGTCCTTCCACTGAGCCCTTCTGGCTCTTGGACGTTTGGCCGTGGAAATAATGGCATGTTGCTTATTTCTGAAGCTTTAATTTCCTCAGGATGGAAACCATCGACAGGTGTGATCTGCAGTTAATTCCACAAACCAATCATTTACTTTCGCTGTGGAACAATGAAAACGGCGATCTTTATCTGCTTGCCTTGTCTATAAATCAATAGTTCACTGGCTTTTGCTTTGTTAGCTCGGAAACTCTAGGGTCAGTCTAATGTTAATGCCCTTAAGAACAGAATGAAATTGAACATAATGGCAACAGCTGGAAGTTTTTGAAAAGTCTGTTGGCCCTGCCCAACTGCTTCACGGAATATGTGACCATATTAGCATGTATCCAATACAGAATGGTTGCTTACCAAAAGGGAAAATAAGATGGCCAAAGAGGGCACAGATTTGCATAAAATTTGCATATAGTGATGTATGCGTGAATTGATGAACGTTTAGAATTGGACTAGGACTGCCCTTTTTTATGCATGGTGATTTGTGCTCCTGATGGTACAGGGGCAGTTATGCCTAGTCAGTACCTTTCGAACCTGCAAAAGTTTCAGGACAGACATACGGCTTCATTTTGTGCATGCCCTGTAGCTGAAATCCTGTGGCTTTTTATATCATTAGTGCCTCGCACTTTCACTGCACCTTGGTGCAAGAGTGCACCATCGAGACAGCAATAATGAAGTAGGCTTGGGGAAGCATTGCAGGGATGGGAACTACGATTCAGTGTAAACAAGCGTACACGCAAAGGTGGAAAAATATATATCTTAATTTCACATTTTTCCTTTACAACAATCCTGTGAGGTAGGCTAGGCTGAGAGATTGTAATTGGCTCAAGGTGACAGACGTATATGTGCAAAGGACGTACCTGTGTGCGGCAAGATCAAAGGCGGGAGAAGCTTCTTGGTGTAGAATGGGATGCCCCTATTTTCATTGGAGAACTTTTGGAGGGTATGTTAATATTGTTCAGCTTGGAGCAGTAGGATGAATAAAAACAGACACCCCCCCTCTGGGAATGAAAATCGTCTAGATCATAAATATGGTTTCAAAGCTTTACTAACAGAACTTTCTTCACAACAGACATTAAGCAGTAGCGATACATCCAAATAGTTGCATAGAATCATGTTGTTGTGGAGGGCGCCATTTTTGTTGGTAGACTACTGCAATGCGCTCTACGTGAGGCTACCTTTGAAGGTGACCCAGAAACTGCAATTAATCCAGAATGTGGCAGCTAGATTGGTGACTGGGAGCGGCCGCCGGGACCATATAACACCAGTCCTGAGAGATCTACACTGGCTCCCAGTATGTTTCCGAGCACAAATCGAAGTGTTGGTGCTGACCTTTAATGCCCTAAATAATAATAATAATAATAATAATAATAATAATAATAATAATTACCCATGCTATACACCTGAGCTCACACACAGATCCCCAGTCAGAAGTTGCTAGATGTAAAATAACTTGTAAAGAAATGAAAGACATGGATAATTTAGAGAGATGAAAACTATGGAGAAGAACGTATTGATATGTAGTCTTAGAAAAATTATTTTAAGGACCTGTGCAGGGGACGGGGGGAAGTCATGAGATTCAGAGAATCTCATTTATGGATATGTTCCAAAAGTTTTTCCTTTTCATTATTTTAAATTGGTTCTTGTAAAAACCAATAAAAATATTTTTAAAAGGAAAAAAAGCTGCTGTTCAACTCACCACTGCCCTTATGTGACCTCCGACATTACAAAATGTGGCTTGCAACCTTGTCATAATCTTCAGAACCGTGTGGGGTGTTTTAAGATTCCAGGGCCTCCAAGCAACCATCTCTCTCCTTTAACCTGCATTTCAGCTTTTAGGCAGGAATTAGTTGCCCAGGGGGCAAGTTGTCAGTCGCCACAAACCTGGCTCTGTGGGTGAAGTATCTTCTCCCTGCCCTCAGACTGACTGATTCCCTCCAGCGTCACTTCTGCCTCAGTGTGCGTGGGGCAGCCAAAATCAACTTGATCCGTCCCTCCCTGGCTACAGACCCCATTGCCCCTGACCACTGGCCATTATGCTAGTTAACGGACAAATGGTTCCTAGGGCGGTGTTTCAGTGGGTGGGTCGACATGGTGCAAATGAAGATGTCATCTGGCGATGGCGCCATGCTGCTCTCCTGGCCACGGCATCCCTCTCTACGTGTAAGTAACAGAGACCCGTACCTGACAGGAAGCGGCTCCATCCAATAATAATAATAATAATAATAATAATAATAATAATAATATATTATTTATACCCCACCCATCTGGCTGGGTCTCCCCAGCCACCCTGGGCGGCTTCCAACAAAGTATTAAAATACATTGGTCTGTTAAACATTAAAAGCTTACCTAAACAGGGCTGCCTTCAGATGTTGTCTAAAAGTCTGGTAGTTGTTCTTCTCTTTGACATCTGAAGGGAGGGCGTTCCACAGGGCGGGCGCCACCACTGAGAAGGCCCTCTGCCTGGTTCCCTGTAACTTGGCTTCTCGCAGGGAGGGAACCGCCAGAAGGCCCTCGGCGTTGGACCTCAGTGCAGAACGATGGGGGTGGAGACGCTCCTTCAGGTATACTGGACCGAGGCCATGGAAATCCCACTTCTGCTGGCTGAGGTGGGTGGGAATTGGCACCCATTTCTGCTTCCTTTCCATCAACGCAGCTGGAGCGAGTTACTATTATTATTACCAGTGGTATTTTTCTAGAAAGAGAGGTACCAGAACTCACCGTGAATGCCTCCCTCGTCCTCTTCTAAGAGAACCAGGGAGAATGAGGGGCAACGGCGCCCACTTGAGAGGTGCCAGAACTGAGTTCCTGTGAGTTCCAGCTGAAAAAACCAATAATAATAATAATAATACATGATTTATATACCGCCCTTAATCAGAAGATCCCAGGGTGGTGTACACATTGCAGAACATCAAGGATAAAAGCATAATACAGTGGTACTTCGGGTTAAGTAATTAATTCGTTCCGGAGGTCCGTTCTTAAACTGAAACTGTTCTTGACCTGAAGCACCACTTTAACTAATGGGGCCTCCCGCTGCCGCCGCGCCGCCGGAGCACGATTTCTGTTCTCATCCTGAAGCAAAGTTCTTAACCCAAGGTAGTATTTCTGGGTTAGCGGAGTCTGTAACCTGAAGCGTATGTAACCCAAGGTACCACAGTAAAAAGGATACTGACAGACAGCCTAATAATAAAATAGGTAAAGGTAAATTGTAAAGGGACCCCTGAGCATTAGGTCCAGTCACGGATGACTCTGGGGTTGTGGCGCTCATCTTGCTTTATTGGCCAAGGGAGCCGGCATACAGCTTCCGGGTCATGTGGCCAGCAGGACTAAGCCACTTCTGGTGAACCAGAGCAGCGCATGGAAACGCCGTTTACCTTCCCGCCTATTTATCTACTTGTACTTTGACGTGCTTTCGAACTGCTAGGTTGGCAGGAGCAGGGACCGAACAACAGGAGCTCACCCCGTCGCGGGGATTCGAACCGCCAACCTTCCGATCGGCAAGCCCTAGGCTCTGTGGTTTATCCCATATCGTCATAATAACAGAGCTCTCGCTCTCACTTTTACAGGTCAAAGATTAATGAATAGCCATAAGCCTAGGTAAAGAGGAATGTTTTTGCCCGGTACCTAAAGACATGTAGTTATGGCACCCCTAAGTAATTACCAACACCCCTCGCAAGGCACTACCACCCATTTTTGTAACCACTGGCATAAATCATTGTTGGGTACTACCGTATTGGCCTGAATATAAGCCTCCCATTTTTTTTCCAAATTCCAACCGTGAAAAGTTAAAGTGCGGCTGAAATTTGCGAACTTACAAAAACTGGCTTTTACGATATCACTGCTGAAACATATGGTACAATGGCACAGGTGTGAGTGCCTGCGAATTTTAAGGGAGCTGCTTATATTCGGGAATTGTCTTTTTTTCTTACCCGCCCCCCCCCCCCGAGTTTTAAAGATGCAGTTTATATTCAGGTGTGGCTTATAATCGGGCCAATACGATAGGTCCCTCTCTGGAGATTGCAGGATGGGGATGGATTATCTGCTTGCTACGAGTGCTTGATTCTACCTAAAGGTCTGTTTGGAAGTAAACTGGGTGGCACATGAAGATGGCACATGCTTCTCCTTTGAAAAGGAGCAAACTTTGCCAACCAGTGACTGCCCCCATCCTGGGTATCACACTGTCCAGGGGAAAGTGGGGTGACCATGGTTGGTGGGAAGAATGAATAGCGGAAACGAGATTGGATTTGGGGGTTCCTCAAGTGTCAAAATGATTTGACGTCGTTTTTTAACTTCCCAGTTCGAGACACGCATCCGAACATGTGCAGTCAGTTCCAGCTGAAGCATGAAGCCACCTACTCACAACATCCTAACTTGGTGAGTGAAACCTGACTTATTTTTCCATCATGAAAAGGTGTCAAAGGAAGAGGAAAAACCATTGCTGTTGTTTAGTCGTGTCCGACTCTTCGTGACCCCCTGGACCAGAGCACGCCAGGCACTCCTGTCTTCCACTGCCTCCCGCAGTTTGGTCAAACTCATGCTGGTAGCTTTGAGAACACTGTCCAACCATCTCGTCCCCTTCTCCTTGTGCCCTCCATCTTTCCCAACATCAGGGTCTTTTCCAGGGAGTCTTCTCTTCTCATGAGGTGGCCAAAGTCTTGGAGCTTCAGCTTCAGGATCTGTCCTTCCAGTGAGCACTCAGGGCTGATTTCCTTCAGAATGGAGAGGTTTAATCTTCTTGCAGTCCATGGGACTCTCTAGAGTCTCCTCCAGCACCATAATTCAAAAGCATCAATTCTTCGGCGATCAGCCTTCTTTATGGTCCAGCTCTCACTTCATACATCACTACTGGGAAAACCATAGCTTGAACTATACGGGCCTTTGTTGTCAAGGTGATGTCTCTGCTTTTTAAGATATTGTCTAGGTTTGTCATTGCTTTTCTTCCAAGAAGCAGGCGTCTTTTAATTTCGTGACTGCTGTCACCATCTGCAGTGATCATGGAGCCCAAGAAAGTAAAATCTCTCACTGCCTCCATTTCTTCCCCTTCTATTTGTCAGGAGGTGATGGGCCCAGTGGCCATGATCTTAGTTTTTTTGATGTTGAGCTTCAGATCATATTTTACGCTCTCCTCTTTCACCCTCATTAAAACCATAGAGCCATAGATATGGAAAGGGCACCTAGGAAAAACCATAGAGCTGTAGATTTGGAAATGGCACCTAGTCCTCCCCACATTGCAGTGTAGGTATCTCAGCGAAAGCATCCCTGATAGATGACCATCTAACCTCTGCTTAGAAACCTCCAAGGAAGGAGAGTCCACAACCTCCCAAGGGAGACTGTTCCACTGTTGAACAGCTCTTACTGTCAGAAAATTCTTCCTAACATTTAGTCAGACACTCCATTCTTGCAACTTGAATCCATTGGATCTAGTACAGGCCTTCAGAGCAGCAGAAAACAAGCTCGCTCCATCTTCCATGTGCTAGCCTTTGAGATATTTGAAGATGACCCTCATATCACCTCGGTCTTCTCTTCTCCAGGCTAAAGGTACTCAACTCTCTCAACCATGCCTCTAGGTTGGACGGCCATCTGTCATGGAAGCTTTAGTTGAGATTCCTGCATTGCAGCGGGTGGACTGGATGACCCTTGGGGTCCCTTCCAACTCTTATGCTTCTAACATTTTCTCAGCAGTTAACTCGGCTTTCCCCCCAAACCACTACATCTCCCACTGTCCCCACAAACCACGATCAACACCTGCAGCCATTTCCCCACAAGGTGATTACCTTGCCAGCCTGTTGCATGGTGATGCAGCTATTCTCTCTGTCGCCGTGTGCTGTCAATCACAATGCCATGGGATATGCAAGGACAGTGATTAGCCAGCAGGCCCAGTACTGGGCCTGCTGGCTACTTGCACTGTCTACTAGCGCATCACGGTGGTTTCGGAGGAAGAATCGAAGGAACTGGTCACGTTTGGCAGTAGCTGGAGCGGCAAAAAGGCCAGTGATATTCTATGTTTTCTTGCTGTGAATAGAGGAGGAGGGGGGTGGAGTGGGGAACAGAAAGCAGAGCATGATGGAGACCAACTTCAGTCAGCATTGCTGATGTTTGGGGAAACTGGGTAAGGGAACTACTGTTAACGGAGACATCTGAGGGCTCCCTTGGACAAAAAACAAGGACCCCAGCCAGGAATACCAGAGCAAAACAGCAGCCAGTAGGCTTGGTCTTTATTGAAGACTGTCGCAACAGGACTCCCACCTGCCACAAGGTGGAACAAGATAGAAGCCCCAAACAAAAGAGAACCCAAACTTTTATTAGCTGCTAATCCCCATGTTACACCCTCTCAAAAATACATCACGGTTACATCATGAAAGGGGAGGTCTGGTGGCAGTAATCTGAGCATCCTGGACCCTGCCCCATGGTTCCCCTTGCTCTCCACCAAACACACATCCAGTGTAAATATATTTCCCTATTTCCCAGCCAAGTTAATCACACCCTTTTGTCTTCATCTGGGTTGGTTATTTCTGGAATGGCTACCGGTCTGGCACTCAGGTATCAGGATGCCAGGAATTATCACTCAGGCAGAGGGGCTGCTGAGTAGCTGAGCTTGTAGCACCCTGCTTGTGGTTAACGCTTAGCTGGAATGAAATATTCAACACAGCAATAGAGAAATTAAAATAATAATTTATTTGTCAGACAAATAAACGAGAGACACAGTGGTATATGGATACCAAAGCTCTGCCCACTCCAGCCCTGATGGCCAGCACTTATATTTCCTCAGCCCAGCCCCTTGCTCCTCCTTTGGCTGCCTCTGTCCAATCAGCCTGGTTGAAATTCCTATTGGCTGTTTGCTAGAACCAATCATAAAAGATACACCCATTTCCTATTACCTTTTATGAGAGACAAAGAGCTATATTTCCTTCTATCCATAAATGGCAGACAAGTAGCCATATATCTTACATTTGCCTCGACAAGGCACCTTAATTACCAGATCATCTTTGCCCTATTGCCCTATTACCCCTTCACTCCAAAACAGATGGCTAAAACAGATGGCTCATGGTTTTAATTTTTATCTTAAACAGAGATCTTGGGTTCACCTTCTCACACACCATCAATGAAATAAGAATCTAACATAAGAATCTAACATTTCTTACTTTCTAAATCCTTTGCATAATTACATTAAGCCAATATATTTCATACATTAACATATATAGCTTTTTAGAAGGAAAGGAACTTAGTAAAAACAGTTTCCAAAAGCAACCCCTTAAATTTACACCCCCCTTTCAAGCCAGCTGCTGTTCCTATTAGCTCTTGCCCTTTAACCTTATGAAAATATGGCTCAAGTCTAATGGGAGGCATCTAGTATTTTCTGTTAAACAATAAATCTCACTATTTACCAACTCTTAATTGTGTTTTTGCAGCTTGATTGTATTCTGTAATTTGTATGGTCAGTATGACCTTTTGCTCCCAGCCTGTAATTTCCTTTTACAACTTTAAGGTACTGCTATAGATCAGGGGGGCCCTTGATCAAGAAGATAAACAACTGCCAGAGTACTCAGCCCAGCTGCTTTATGTCTGGCATAAAACATACAAACATTTGCAAATATATTTTTTAAGCTCATTTTAAAATACAAGCCTTGATCAGATGCCTCAAGCTCACATGTCTATATGAATTTCTGAGGTTTTCCCAGTGAGCCAGTACATAGAGACATTGATCAGTGAATTGTCACATTTGGTATTGTGCAGCAAAGGCCCTTTGAATAGATAGGAAGAAACTGTGATGAAGTGTTTTGTGGGGACAAATCACAAAAGTCACAAAAGTGATTGCGCTGATTTTGGTAGTGGGCTGCATGTGCATGATATCTGCTGGAGGGGAAACCCCCCCCCCAACCTATACATAAATTCCTGCAACACTACCATCAGTTCCTTTTCCTGGTGTAGAAAAATCTGGGGTTGGCTTTTACCCAGTGTCCCCAGTGACAATAAGGCAGATCTTTATTTTTCTGTTGCGACAGAGTTGCCACCACCTTGACCAGGAGGTGAGGGCCCAGAACAGAGGTGTGCAGGAACTTTTGAAGACTTTAGAAATTGCCCAGCCCTTTAGCCAAAGACTGCCCAAAAGCATCATGCACACATCACAGAAAGACGCGGCCTACAACAGAAGTTTGTGTGTGGCTTGTCTGCTGCCTGCCAAGATAATCTGATAACGTTTTACCAATTGCATTACTGGTCAGTCTTTTGACATAGTAAATGCCTTAGACCTTGAATCCAGACCACAGCGGCAAAATATTCATACACAAAATTTGTAGGATTTGCAAGTGAAAATAACCACTGGGGGAGCTTTTTCCAAGGTATTTCCTTCTGCAGAGGAATATTTGGGGGTCATTAGGAGTTGATGTGGATTCAGGATTGCTCTGGTGTTGTTTAGTCGTGTCCGACTCTTCGTGACCCCATGGACCACAGCACGCCAGGCACTCCTGTCTTCCACTGCCTCCCACACTTTGGTCAAACTCATGCTGGTAGCTTCGAGAACACTGTCCCACCATCCTGTCCTCTGTCGTCCCCTTCTCCTTGTGCCCTCCATCTTCCCCAACATCAGGGTCTTTTCCAGGGAGTCTTCTCTTCTCATGAGGTGGCCAAAGTATTGGAGTCTCAGCTTCAGGATCTGTCCTTCCAGTGAGCACTCAGGGCTGATTTCCCTCCGAATGAAGAGGTTTGATCTTCTTGCAGTCCATGGGACTCTCCAGAGTCTCCTCCAGCACCAGAATTCAAAAGCATCAATTCTTTGGCGATCAGCCTTCTTTATGGTCCAGCTCTCGCTTCCATACATCACTACTGGGAAAATCATAGCTTGAACTATACGGGCCTTTGTTGGCAAGGTGATGCCTCTGCTTTTTAAGATGCTGTCTAGGTTTATCATCGCTTTTCTCCCAAGAAGCAGGCACCATCTGCAGTGATCATGGAGCCCAAGAAAGTAAAATCTCTCACTGCCTCCATTTCTTCCCCTTCTATTTGCCAGGAGGTGATGGGCCCAGTGGCCATGATCTTCGTTTTTTTGATGTTGAGCTTCAGACCATATTTTGCACTCTCCTCTTTCACCCTCATTAAAGGTTCTTTAATTCCTCCTCACTTTCTGCCATCGAGGTTGTGTCATCTGCATATCTGAGGTTGTTGATATTTCTTCCGGCAATCTTAATTCCGGCTAGGGATTCATCCAGCCCAGCCATGCTATTTAAGACGTGTGGTTTATATGCCTGCGTATTTGTGTTTATCTTGTTCACTTCCAAGCATCTGTTTTATTTACGGCAGTGCTTAGGATTCTTATAACACTGGTTAAAATGGTGCTGTCCTGTTCAAGCATGACAAAGCCAATAATGTCTGAGGCCTTCTTCCCTTCTCATTTTCCTTATTTTATTTTTCTCTCTCCTGGGGTAGGTCCAATACTTCCTTCCATTCACTGACGCCGAGTTCCAAGAGCGGCTTGAACAACACAAGGGAGAGATCGCCATCATGCTAAGGTCCTCGGAGTTCAATCAAGACAAAACTGCCTTGATTGTGACTAACAACCCTCTTCCCCTCTTCATATCTGGACAACAGCTTTCAACGCCTTTCCAGTTTTTCCCTGAAGACATCAGGGTAAGTTGGTTCTCCGACACGCATACCTTGCTTAAAGTGAAAAGGGGATTTCCCCACTTCTGACACCATTTAGGGAGCTTTTAATGTTTGATGTATGGTGGTACCTCGGATTAAGTACTTAATTCGTTCCGGAGGTCCGTACTTAACCTGAAACTGTTCTTAACCTGAAGCACCATTTTAGCTAATGGGGCCTCTTACTGCTGTCACGGCGCCAGAGCACGATTTCTGTTCTCATCCTGAAGCAAGGTTCTTAACCTGAAGCACTATTTCTGGGTTAGCGGAGTCTGTAACCTGAAATGTATGTAACCTGAAGCATATGTAACCCGAGGTACCACTGTATTACTGTATTTTAATATTTGGTTGGAAGCCGCCCAGGGTATAATTTATTTATACCCCGCCCATGGGAGGGGTATAAATTATTATTATTATTATTATTATTATTATTATTATTATTATTATTGTATGGGGGGTCAAAGAGGTAACTCTGCGGCATGACCTTACCACAAAAGGTGTCTCTAAACCAGGCATAGGCAAACTCTGGCCCTCCAGATATTTGGGACTAGAATTCCCATCATCTCTAGCTAATGTGATAGGAATTTTGAGGTCTTAGATATATGTTAAATGTTCATGGGTGTCCCAACCAAGCACATACATAGATCAGCACAGGAAGACCAACCTGGAACCATTTTGATTTTCAAACTGTCCCAATTTTTTTTCTCTGCAAGGTCAAAGGTGTTGTAAATAAAAATATGCCCTTTTCCCTTATGGGGTATCCAAGAGCCCATATAGAGTCCTTACATAGGTTCCCTATTGGTAGGAGAAAATAACAGAGGCCAACCAGAGAATATTGAGAAGCAAAGCAGCTAGTAAGCTTGATCTTTATTAATCTGTTGCAACAGGGTGCTCCCCTCACACGCAGGAGAGGAAGAGGACCCCAAAAATGCTATGCAAGGGCTTATAAAGACTTTTGAAATTCCCAACCTCTAGATAAAGACCACCCCCAGAAACATTATGCATTCATCACAGAAGGGTGTAACCTAAGACCACCCCTCAGATAAGGCGGTCTAAAACAGAACATTTGCATGTTGTTTTCTCCTGTCACTTTGTTTATTTCCTGTCTGGCAGGTTACTTGATTGGATTTCTTGGGGAGCCTTGGCAGTCTTTTGTAATGATAAGGCTCACACCCTTATTCAAACACAGATTAAGACAGGATTTGTGAAGGAAGAGACAATGGGGAGGCTTTTCCATTTTTACCATGCAGAGAAACATTTGCTCAGTTTAGGAATCAAAATGGTTCCAGGTTGGCTTTCCTGTGCATGATCTATGTACGTGTGGTTACTGGAACGTTGCCATATATCTAAAACCAGTAAATATTCCATCACAAAGGAAAATGGAAACGCCTCCCCATTGTTTTTTCCTTCACAAATCCTGTCTTAAGGGTATGACTGTGTTTGAACAGGGTGTGAGCCTGTGACCTGGCCCAGGAACTAAGTATTTATCATTACAAAAGACTAGCCTGGCTCACCAGGAAATCCAGTCAAGTAACCTGCCAGACAGGAGATAAACAACGACAGGAGAAAACAACATTCAAATTTCTGTTTTAAGACCGCCTTTTCTGTGATGTGGGTATGATGTATCTGAGGGGTGGTCTTAGGTTACACCCCTTCTGTGATGCATGTATGATGTTTCTGGGGGTGGTCTTGATCTACAGGGTGGCAATTTCAAAAGTCCATATAAGGCCTTGTGTGCCATTTTTCTGGGTTCCTGCTCTCTCCTGCGTGTGAGGGGAGCACCCTGTTGCAACAGATCAATAAAGATCAAGCTTACTAGCTGCTTTGCTTCTCAATATTCTCTGGTTGGCCTCTGTTATTCTCTCCTACCAATAGGGAACCTATGTAAGGACTCTATATGGGCTCTTGGATACCCCATAAGGGAAAAGGGCAAATTTTGTTTACTACACTAACAGGACCAGTGGTCAGGGATGATGGGAATTGTAGTCCCAAACATCTGGAGGGCCGGAGATTGCCTATGCCTGCTCTAAACCGGCCTTCCCTAATCCCAGATCCCTATGTATTGTGGGACTACCAAACCCATTACCCTGACCACCATTCACACTGGCTATGGGATGATGGGGTTTGTAGTCCCAACTGCATGACAGAAGTTTATAAAATTGTGCCTGGCATGGAGAAAGCAGATAGAGAAAAGAAAAGCTCTTTCTTCCTCTCTCGTAACTCTCACAATCATATAAGTCTCCATCTTCTCCAGAGCTTTCCCCAATCAGGGACTGTGCCTTTTATTTTACCTTGGAACCACAGTAAGGAAAAGAAAAGTATATACAGTAAACCGAAAACCAAAAGAAACCCTTATCAAGAGCTTCTTCGGAAGTCAATCATTAGCAAGAATAAACTAACCAAAATCAATTAAAATAACTTCTTACATAGAATGTTCCCACGCAGAGTAAAGACAGCCATGTCCCGGATGGACCTCCTTTTCTTTCACCCCGTCATTTCGCCAAATAAATTCCAAAAATAATAATTTCTTTGCCTGTCAACTGTTGCAGGAATTTATGTATAGGTGGGGGGGTTGCCCCTCCAGCAGATATCATGCACATGCAGCCCACTACCAAAATCAGCACAATCACTTTTGTGATTTTTGTGATTTGTCCCCACAAAACACTTCATCACAGTTACTTCCTATCTATTCAAAGGGCCTCTGCTGCAGGATACCAAATGTAATAATTCACTGATAAATGTCTCTATGTACTGGCTCACTGGAAAGACTTCAGAAATTCATATAGACACGTGAGCTCAGCTACCCAGCAGCCCCTCTGCCTGAGTGATAATTCCTGGCATCCTGATACCTGAGTGCCAGACAGGTAGCCATTCCAGAAATAAACTCAGATGAAGACAAAAGGGTGTGATTAACTTGGCTGGGAAACAGGGAAATGTAAATATCTCTTTTGTTCCACTTGATGGGTGTTTGCTGGAGGGCAAGGGGAACCATGGGGCAGGGTCCAGGATGCTCAGATTCCTGCCACCAGACCTCCCCTTCCATGATGAAACCATGATGTATTAGTGATGTAGTTGGGGGGGGGTGTAACATGGGGATTAGCAGCTAATAAAAGTTTGGGTTCTCTTTTGTTTGGGGCTTCCATCTTGTTCCACCTTGTGGCAGGTGGGAGTCCTGTCGCGACAGTCTTCAATAAAGACCAAGCCTACTGGCTGCTGTTTTGCTCTGGTATTCCTGGCTGGTGTCCTTGTTTCTTGTCCAAGGGAGCCCTCAGATTCCTCCGCTAACACAGCTATATTTTCGTTGCTTTAAAGTTTTGGAGAGGTTACCGCTTCAATGCTTGGAACTTGAGGCTTCCCATTGTGGAGTTGAGCTGGAGCCTTGCATTTTGGCTCAATTCTTCCTACTCCACACACGCACACACCCTACATGGGAAGACAAGAGAGCTTGAAAAAATACACAGCTGGACCCTTCGGCACCCAAAGGACCCCTTTGGGTTTTTTAAGGGGTGCACGGCACCCTCATGCTCCCCCTATCCCTCTCGCAATGGTAGAGTCAGTCCTCCGGCTCTGATTCTTCTTCATTGGGGTTCCCCAGCTGTTTCCTCCCACCATTCCTCTTCGTCCAACCAGTCCATGACACAGAACTCGAACCCAGCACTCCTGCCATCGTACCGCCCTCCCTGCCTCATCCCCTCCCAGGACCCACCTGTGGGATTCTTCTGCTCCGACCTGCTGATGAGCTGCCAGTATCATGAAGGTTACCAAGCCTTTATATCGGGGATCAGCAACCTTTTTCAGCCGTGGGCTGGTCCACCGTCCCTCAGACCATGTGGTGGGCCGGACTATTTTTTTTGGGGGGGGGGGGATGAAAGAATTCCTATGCCCTACAAATAACCCAGGGGTGCAGGTGGCGCTGTGGGTTAAACCACAGAGCCTAGGACTTGCCGATCAGAAGGTCAGCGGTTCGAATCCCCGCAATGGGGTGAGCTCCCATTGCTTGGTCCCTGCTCCTGCCAACCTAGCAGTTTGAAAGCACGTCAAAGTGCAAGTAGATAAATAGGTACCGCTCCGGCGGGAAGCTAAACGGTGTTTCCGTGCGCTGCTCTGGTTCGCCAGAAGCGGCTTAGTCATGCTGGCCACATGACCCGGAAGCTGTACGCCGGCTACCTCGGCCAATAAAGCGAGATGAGCGCCGCAACCCCAGAATCGTCTGGGACTGGACCTAACGGTCAGGGGTCCCTTTACCTTTTACAAATAACCCAGAGATGCATTTTAAATAAAAGTGCACATTCTACTCATGTAAATTCCCTTTCCTGGGGGGTTGTCTGTATGAATCTGTATTTTATTCTGAATCCATGTTATGGGTCGTTGGACCGTAATAAAGATGATGATTATTACTCATGTAAAAACACCAGGCAGGCCCTATAAATAACCCAGAGATGCATTTGAAATAAAAGGATGCATTCTACTCATGTAAAAACACGCTGATTCCCAGACCATCCGTGGGTTGGATTGAGAAGGCAATTGGGCCGGATCCGGCCCCCGGGCCTTAGGTTGCCTACCCCTGCTTTAGATTTAACCAGAGCTTCACAATTGCAATAAATTTATTGCGTATCTAAAAGACAGCTGTAAAAATTTAAAAACACGAGCAGGACTGAAGTAGCTCCTACAATGTAAAACAGATAAGATGTGAGTATAAAATACGCGAAAAAGTGTGATAAAGGATACCAACTGAAGGGATGGAGGGAAGCCATAGCTCGGCAGAGCAAAAGGGTTATATTTTGATGTATGTATGGATTGTTGAAAAAAAAGATTATGTAAAGAAAATAATAAAAAATCCGAGACCAGGGAGAAGAGTCGGTGGAAGAAGATTGGAAGAAATTTAAAGACTATTTACAGAAATACTGCAAAATCAATGAATGCTAGAATGATGTTGGATTGAAGTTAAGTGGTTTCTAGCTGTAATGGTATAAAAGAATATGAAAAATGGATTTTTAACAGGTAAAAATTTAATGTTATAATATATTAAGATTAAAGATCAGGATAAATTAAGGAGGGAAAGGAATTGCTGAACTAATAAATTGAACTGGAATACAAAAAAGGGAGGTCCGGGAAACAAGCAAATGAAAGATAAATGATAGAAAGGTTGAATTGTTTTTAACTATTTTTATTTTGTATTTTTTCTTCTTTTTCTTTTTTCATTTTGTAATATTGTGAAAACCTTAATAAATATTTATTTAAAAAAAAAAGAAAATAATAAAAAATTATATTAAGATTTAACGAGAGCTTCTTTTGCTAATCCACCTTCCATTTAGAGGAAAAACCAACCGGATTCGGACCACTTACCCCCAGTGCAAGCCCAAAAGAGCCAACTGAGTCCCAGCATCAGAAAGCTGAGGAAACCTGCAGAGTTCAGGTAAGGCCACAGCTCTTTCCCTTGGAAAAAGAACGGGCGTTGTGCTTGAACACACATTGCTTCAAGGTGGTTTTCCGTGCGTCTGAAATGCCCAGCGCTCTAAACCAGCCTTCCCCACTGAGCGCCTACAACTCCCATCAGCCCCTGGGAGTGTCATCAATCAGAATGTACAGATGCCTTGCCTCTTCTGGAATGGCTGTACAGTGGTACCTCGGGTTAAGTACTTAATTCGTTCCGGAGGTCTGTTCTTAACCTGAAACTGTTCTTAACCTGAAGCACCACTTTAGCTAATGGGGCCTCCTGCTGCTGCCGCGCCGCTGGAGCACGATTTCTGTTCTCATCCTGAAGCAAAGTTCTTAACCTGAGGTAATATTTCTGGATTAGCGGAGTCTGTAACCTGAAGCGTCTGTAACCTGAAGCATATGTAACCTGAGGTACCACTGTAACTGTATTTGATTCATCTCCCAATAAGGGATAGGATTTATCTAGAATTTGGTGGGTGATCAGTTTATCATTCAGGATGTATTTCAGACCCTCCAAGTGCCCCTAATCTCCAGGGACCGTCCTGGATTTACAGAAGCTGTCCCAGTTTCTGATTTGATCCCAGAATGTCCCGCTTTTCCTTTGTTGTTGTTTAGTCAGTTAGTATTGTCCAACTCTTCGTGACCCCCTGGACCAGAGCACGCCAGGCACTCCTGTCTTCCACTGCCTCCCGCAGTTTGGTCAAACTCATGCTGGTAGATTTGAGAACACCGTCCCACCATCTCGTCCTCTGTCATCCCCTTCTCCTTGTGCCCTCCATCTTTCCCAACATCAGGGTCTTTTCCAGGGAGTCTTCTCTTCTCATGAGGTGGCCAAAATCTTGGAGTCTCAGCTTCAGGATCTGTCCTTCCAGTGAGCACGCAGGGCTGATTTCCTTCAGAATGGAGAGGTTTGATCTTCTTGCAGTCCATGGGACTCTCAAGAGTCTCCTCCAGCACCAGAATTCAAAAGCATCCATTCTTCGGCGATCAGCCTTCTTTATGGTCCAGCTCTCACTTCCATACATCACTACTGGGAAAACCATAGCTTTTCCTTAGGATGTCCCTATTTTCACAGGAGAAACATTGGAGGGTATGGGAGTTATGTGACCCCCGAGCCAAGGAAATAAGTAACTAAACAACCTTTAGAAGACATCTGAAGGCAGCCCTGGATAGGGAAGTTTTAAAATATTTAATGTTTTGTTACGTTTTTGTATATGTTGCTTGGGCACCTCAGTCAGACGTGCGGGGCATAAGTAGAATACAGTTGTACCTTGGAAGTCAAAAGGAATCCGTTCCAGAAGTCCGTTCGACTTCCAAAACGTTCAGAAACCAAAGCGCAGCTTCTGATTGGCTGCAGGAAGCTCCTGCAGCCAATCAGAAGCCCCATCTGACATTCGACTTCCAAAAATAGTTCGCAAACCGGAACAGTCACTTTTGGGTTTGCAGCGTTCGGGAGCCAAAACGTTTGGGAACTAAGCTGTTCCAAAACCAAGGCACAACTGTAATCATCATCATCATCATCATCAACCTCATCATCATATAGTTATTATTGTTATTGTTGTTGTTGATGTTGTGGAATGGGACATCCCTATATTCATTGGAGAAATGTTGGAGGGTGTGGTATTTAAAGTTTGGTCATAGGTCAGTAAATGATGCTTGATAATTTTTTTGCTAAGGATGTCCAGCCACAACAAACTGAACATATGGATGGCTATGTACACACTGCCATTCATACTGCACTTCTGCCATTGGTTTAGGAAGATGTGTACACGTGATGCCACAATCCGTATCTATCTGGTCATTTCTTAGGAAATGCAGTGTCTTGTTGCATTTCCCCCTTCCTGCAAAGCAACACCCATCCAAATTGTGTTTTAAGTCATGATGAGGATAGTGGTAAAAGGTGATACCTTGGTTCTCGAATGCCTTGGTACTCAAACAACTTGGAACCCAAACGCTGCAAGCCCAGAGGGAAGTGTTCCGGTTTGCGAACTTCTTTTGTAAGTTGAACGTTCTCCGTTTTGAGTGTTACGCGTCCGACCTGAGTGCCACACTTCCAGTTTCAGTGCTACACTTCTGTTCTGTTTTGAGTGTTATGCTGTGGTCTGTTTTTGCTATTTATTTTGCGTTTTTGCGGCTCTTTTTGCTTTGTTTTTGTGACTGTGGAACCCAGTTCAGCTACTGATGGATTGATTGTAAGACCTCAGTACATTGTTTATTGCTTTCATTTTATGGATGAAATTCATCTTCAATTGCTTTTTCAGGGGTTGTTTTTAAAAGTCTGGAACGGATTAATCCATTTTGCATTACAGTAGTACCTCTGTTTACATAACCCTCTGGTTACGTTAACTTTGGGATGCATGCATGGCAAACCCAGAAGTATTTTACCAGGTTTCGCCGCGTGTGCATGCACAGAAGTGGTCCTCAGGTTGCAGAAACTTCAGGATCTGACCGGACCTCCAGAATAGATCCCATCCGCAACCGGAGGTACCGCTGTACTTTCTATGGGAAAGCACGCCTTGGTTTTGAAACGCTTTGGTTTTGGAATGGACTTGCGGAACAGATTATGTTTGAGAAGCAAGGGACCACTGTACTGAGGTTATTTTAAAGACTTGAGTTGAGAATCTTCAAAAGTGAATTCATAAGTTTAGAAGTCATATTATTTAGAAGAAAGATGCATGCCTCCCTGCTGATATCTTGGGAATATTTAGACACAATGAGATAGTTTAGCATGTGAGCCAGATCTTCGACGCAGCTGGGTTATTATCTTCACTTGGTAAGATTCTCCAAAAACTTTATTAAAAGAATCTCTGAAATTTGGCCACAGAAGCTTCTTACCGTCGGCCAATACTACTGACTAGCATGGAGCAACTTATTGCAAGAGTTGTCTAGACATGTGACACGGAAAATGTCCTGCTGAAAATTCTTTGTACAGTGGTACCTCGGGTTAAGTACTTAATTCGTTCCGGAGGTCCGTACTTAACCTGAAACTGTTCTTAACCTGAAGCACCACTTTAGCTAATGGGGCCTCCTGCTGCTGCTGCACCGCCGAAGCACGATTTCTGTTCTCATCCTGAAGCAAAGTTCTTAACCTGAAGTATTATTTCTGAGTTAGCGGAGTCTGTAACCTGAAGCGTATGTAACCTGAAGCATATGTAACTTGAGGTACCACTGTAACTAGAAATGATTAAGAGCATCATATGGTTGTGTGCTTTGTTTTCCCGTTTTGTTAGAAAACTTATTTGTTCATTAATGCAAATAGAATATAAATGGAAAGGTTCTCCTGTACTCAAATAATTATGGATTTTATTTTATTTTTTATTCATCTACATATATGTGTGTGTGTGTGTTGTTGTTGTTTAGTCGTTTAGTCGTGTCCAACTCTTCGTGACCCGCTGGACCAGAGCATGCCAGGCACTTCTGTCTTCCACTGCCTCCCGCAGTTTGGTCAAACTCATGCTGGTAGCTTCGAGAACACTGTCCCACCATCTCGTCCTCTGTCGTCCCCTTCTCCTTGGGCCCTCAATCTTTCCCAATATCAGGGTCTTTTCCAGGGAGTCCTCTCTTCTCATGAGGTGGCCAAAGTCTTGGAGCCTCAGCTTCAGGATCTGTCCTTCCAGTGAGCACTCAGGGCTGATTTCCTTCAGAATGGATCGGTTTGATCTTCTTGCAGTCCATGGGACTCTCAAGAGTCTCCTCCAGCACCATAATTCAAAAGCATCCATTCTTCAGCGATCAGCCTTCTTTATGGTCCAGCTCTCACTTCCATACATCACATATGTATATGTATGTATATATGTATGTATGTACATACATACATACAAACATACGCATCACTTCCTACTTTACATGAGCTGGGATAACTCAGTCAATAGATATTGGGACTCCTGATCTCACAGTCATGGGTTCAAGCCCCACATTGGGTAAAAGATTCCTGCATTGCAGGGGGTTGGACTAGATGACGCTCGTGGTCCCTTCCAACTTTACAATTCTATACTAGAACATAAGACCTCTACGGGGTTTACAGTACAGTAGTCTAAGATATTAATTAAAAATACCATAAAGAGCAACATTGAAAACGAGCTATGTATGATTTTTTAAAATATATATCATCAGTAATTTTAAAACATTTAGACTTACTGGAATAACGTGTTAATATTGCATGCTAAAATTACATGCCTAGGCAGGCTTGCTGGAACAAAACATTAGTTAGCGGGGCTCTTTCCGGTGGTCCGGCTGGCTGGTTCTTAGAGAATTCTATGCAGGCTGCAAAGTGTCCTGTCTTTACCTCCTGCACTGCCATATGGTTATGTGGTCTAAACCACTGAGCCTCTTGGGCTTGCTGATCAGAAGGTCGGCGGTTCAAATCCACATGACGGGGCAAGCTCTTGTTGCCCTGTCCCAGCTCCTGCCAACCTAGCAGTTCAAAAGCACACCGGTGCAAGTAGATAAATAGGTACCACTATGGCGGGAAGGTAAACAGTGTTTCCGTGCGCTCTGGCTTTCATCACGGTGTTCTGTTGTACCAGAAGTGGTTTAGTCCTGCTGGCCACATGACCCGGAAAGCTGTCTGTGGACAAACGCCGGCTCCCTCGGCCTGAAAACAAGATGAGCGCCGCAACCCCATAGTCACCTTTGACTGGACTTAACCATCCGGAGGGACGTGGGTAGCGCTGTGGGTTAAACCACAGAGCCTAGGACTTGCCGCTCAGAAGGTTGGCGGTTCGAATCCCCGCGACAGGGTGAGCTCCCATTGCTCGGTCCCTGCTCCTGCCAACCTAGCAGTTTGAAAGCACGTCAAAGTGCAAGTAGATAAATAGGTACCGCTACGGCGGAAAGGTAAACGGCATTTCTGGGCGCTGCTCTGGTTCGCCAGAAGCGGCTTAGTCATGCTGGCCACATGACCCAGAAGCTGTACGCTGGCTCCCTCAGCCAATAAAGCGAGATGAGTGCCGCAACCCCAGAGTCAGTCACGACTGGACCTAATGTTCAGGGGTCCCTTTACCTTTAACCATCGAGGGGTCCTTTACCTTTATGTGCACTGACTTGTACTTGGTCAACTTCAGAGCAAAGCGTGTGCCCTTTTGCCCTGGTCTCCACCTGGCTCATAGCTACGCAGAGTACTCACAATGCCTGGATTGTGTCATCCACCACCGTTCCATAGTGACATTTGGGCTTTGGCAAGGACCATCAGCTTTCTCTGCCAGAAGGTCCCCAGAGCATTCAGGAATCCATTGGGTTACATCTGTCTCCAGATGTGGTCTAGCTGAGCGAGCCCTCCACCCTGTCAGCGGGGAATTACCACCACCAAGCCAAATTCCAAACGCAAAGTGATTGCTGTTTGGAACCGAAACCAAGTCTGCCACCGAAGCCGTTTTAAGGTGTATCTTTGTGGAAATGTGTTCAATACCTGCAAACAGCAAACTGGCAGACCCAATCTAGCACCTTTCAACACATCCAGCACATGGTGAGGTTCAGGGACAGGGAGAACACAGATCAGGATTTATCTGAAGATCTGTGGATCTAAAACGGGGGTGGGGTGGGGGACTGGATCCAAGCCGTGGGCCAGATCCCTCAGTGCCCCACCCTCCATATGCCACCTTCAGTTACCTGATGTCCTAAATAAAGACATCACGTAAACAGACACCTGTCAGAGCTGCTGATGGTTGCAGCGACCTCCTCTGAAGGTCCATTTTCAGTGCCAATCAGCTGATTCGTGGCGGGAGGTTTTCTCCACTAGCACACAGTAGTTTGCATGAAAACCCTTTGGTAATAATGAGCTTATTCTAGCAACTGTTTTCCATGCAAACCATTTCAAAACCGAGCCTCTCAGCTTCCCTAGGGAACATTATTATTATTAGTAGTAGTAGTAGTAAAGTTTTTTAATTATAATTTTATTTTATAATGTATATAAAATAGGTACCGCTCCGGCGGGAAGGTAAACAGCGTTTCCGTGAGCTGCTCTGGTTCGCCAGAAGCAGCTTAGTCATGCTGGCCACATGACCCGGAAGCTGTACGCCGGCTCCCTCAGCCAATAAATGAGATGAACGCCGCAACCACTGAGTCGGCCATGGCTGGACTTAATGGTCAGGGGTCCCTTTACCTTTACCTTAGACATAAGGCTGCATAGGGTACCCAGCATGGGACCATAAAAATCTTGAAGAGGAAAGTTGCCTGCACACGTTCTACCAGCTGGGTAAACCCTGGCAGCCAGACTGGAATACCATAGAGCAATTGAGCTATAATTTTGGCGTTGAAGACCTTAAGGGCCCTTGTTGTGAAAAAAACATGGCCTGCATAGACATCTTACTGGCATTCACTGCCATTGCACGGTGTGAGGACTATAGAAACCTATGATACCACTGGAGGGGAGGGGGAGAGGGGATTTTCATTAACGAAGTAAACTTGATTGATCCCTACTGAGCAACCTTACTCCACCCCGCAAGCAGGTTCTCCAGAGATAAGGATTTCACCAGCGAAGCCCATTTTTCAAAAAATTACGCGGAGAGGCGCTTGCTGAGAATGTACCCCCAGCTCCGTAAGCACATGAGGCTTGGTAAGCAGTCTTCCTTTACTCAAAGAATACGAAGAGGTGGAGGGGAGGCCTACTCGATACAGGATATCTACAGCTGCAGAGGTTTAGCAGACCTCTAGGTAATGGGCTCCATGGCCAAACTGTTCTGACCTATTAAGAGGCTTTTCTAATGCTGAACCGACAGCTAAGCTCAAGGGAGGAAAGGACATTTTCTGGGCTCCGTGAAAGTGCAAATGCTTTATACGCACAGCAGGCCAAGTTCAATGGGGAACCCGTGGCCCTCTAAACATTGTTGAACTCCACCTCCCAACATCCCTGACCACTCACTGGCCATGTTGGCTGGGTCCTGGTGTCCAGAGAACTATAAGTTCTCCCCTGCCCACAGATCCTCAGCTGCCTGTACTGTGTCTGCGGTGCTTCCTGCCTCTGATTCCTCTCTCTCACTTAAGCCTGTTGCTTGTTCAGCACCCAACCATTCTGCCCTCCCGCTTGGTCCTCTGACCAGAGTCCCACCACCGCTCCCTGGCCCTCATCCGTCCTCCTCTGAGGCTTCCCTAATGGGTTCTCTGGCTGCAGCCTCCAACCACTCCTCATCGTCCGGTCAGTCCCATGTTTTATGGTCCAAAACATCTGGAGGTCACCAGTTGGGGGGAGAAGAACATGGTGTACAGCTCTGGCCTGCCCCATCTTACGCTCTGAGAGCTGTCTGCATGGGTCAGTCTCACCTGTGCTATTGGTTTGTTTGTGCTTCCAGGTACAAACGAAATGGAACCCCTCCCCAGTATCCAAGGCTGGTCCCCCAAAGCAACGCATTGGGAGCCTCTGACCATCTCGTGCTTGACGGAAACAAGGCGCACTATTAATGTACCAGGAGAAGATGGCTTCAGGTATGGGAGAGCCCCGCTCTGGATTGTCGACAGCTCGGTTGTACCTAAGTATGCCAAATAAAAGCCTTCTGCTGACTCTGCACATTCTTTGCTTCTTTGCGACGCGAAGCCTTGATCCTGGCACCGCCCAGTTGCACTGGCGTTTAGTGCATCGCTATAGATTTCGGAGGGGATTCCCCCCTCCCCTCCTAGAAATTAATAAATGGTAGGGTGTTGATTGGGGACGCGGGTGGCGCTGTGGGTTAAACCACAGAGCCTAGGACTTGCCGATCAGAAGGTCGGCGGTTCGAATCCCCGTGACGGGGTGAGCTCCCATTGCTCGGTCCCTGCTCCTGCCAACCTAGCAGTTCGAAAGCATGTCAAAGTGCAAGTAGATAAATAGGTACCACTCCGGCGGGAAGGTAAACGGTGTTTCCGTGCGCTGCTCTGGTTTTGCCAGAAGCGACTTAGTCCTGCTGGCCACATGACCAGAAGCTGTACGCCGGCTCCCTCGGCCAATAAAGCGAGATGAGCGCCGCAACCCCAGAGTCGGTCACAACTGGACCTAATGGTCAGAGGTCCCTTTACCTTTTTACCTTTAGGATGTTGATTATTTGGGATGTGGAGGGAGAAATACAAGCTGCAGAGGAATTCCTGGGCCAGCCTATGCAAAACAACTTGGCCAAGCTGGGACCGTTAAGAAACAATAGAGCAGGGGTTGGCAACCTAAGGCCTGTGGGCCACAAGCAGCCCACGGGTGTCGTTTAACCGGCCCCCGAGCTACCCCCGAACCAAGCTGCCTGCTTGGCACGTCCCCACGTGCGGCGCTAAACCGGCGTAGCGCAGCGCGGGTACTCGCTTCTGCAGCTCTGGAAATTGCGCATGCGCAGACGTCAAAAATCGCATCTGTGCAGACACAGACACTGGAAATCGTGGGTGCGCATGCTCAAGCCCACGGAGGAATCTCTGCTGGAGTGAACTGGCTGAGGCGAGGTAAACCTTGCCGACTCCTACAATAGAGGGTCATTGAGGTCCCTTGGCAATGCAAGAGAGCTGTCCTTTCCCCCTTGCCCTGAGGTGTGAACAGAGACTGGGGGGGTTGGAAGGTTGCCAGGGTAACTGGGTGTGATGCCACAGGAAACGAGAGTCTTTAGCAAGGTGTGCTGGGAAGAGGAAAGGGAGAGAAGAAAGACTGGGATCCATCTTGGGCAGGCTGGCTGAAGGCTGTCTGGGAGAGATGCCTTGGACTGCTGTGGGGGACAAGCCCCTCTTGAAATGACCATGTTGTAAGATCTGGACTCCCTGCATGCAGACTGAAGGTGTAAATAGGTGAGTAAACTGTATTTCTTAAAGCTACGACAGTCTCCACCATGTATAGAGGGCCATAGGTACTAACCATCCCAGATATATGCCATTTTCATCATAAGCTCATGGCTAAAAAGAACCCACAGGTAAGGAGGCAAAACCCTGGTTTTCCACTCCCAACCGTCATTTTTACGGCCACTGAACAGGCACATTTCCACAACGGGTTGTGTTTGGGGTCAACCCCCCCTAAATATTTCTTGTCTTTCTGAAGATGGGTTTTACGCTCAAGCCTGCTGACACCTACACCTCCTCTTGCATGGCTGGTGTCATTTGGGGGTACATAAGCAGTGGCACTCACAACCTGCTGCAAAATCGACCTGTAACTCAGTGGTAAATTTCCTGCTTTGCATGCAGAGGGTCCCAGGTTCAAGTCCTGACATCTCCAGGAAGGGCTGAGCATGAATTGTGAAGAGGCAATCAGTGCGGACAATACTGAGTTGGATGGACAAATGGTCTGACTCCTGTAAGATAGCTTCCTATGTTCCAGTGATGGCGTGATGCCCTTCTGCTAAACTATCTTTGAAGGTCAAACTATGGAACAAAACATTACTATTGATTTTAGGTTGCATGAGGGACAGACCTGTCTCACTCACTTTTAATATTTCTACAGTGCTGGTTTTGTGAGCTTCATTGTTCCCTCTAATAGGGAACTCCATGGGTGCGTGCCAACATGATTGTAGTCCTAAACAAAGCCACTTTTATAGGGTTACCAGACGTCCCCGTTTCCCGGGGACAGTCCCTGGATTTGCGAATAAGTCCCCGGACAAATTCCATCCCCGGAATGTCCCCGGATTTCATCTAATGTCCCCGGGAAATGCAGCAGCGGCAGTCTCAGCAGCCCGGAGCAGTTGGCTCTGGCTGGCTTCAGGAGCTGCTCAGAAGTCCCCATATGATGGTGGTGCAAGGGATCTCAGATGCAGCTTCCGGGCTGCTTCCACCTTCCCTGACCCTGGCAACTAAACTGTGATGGGAGGCTTCATGCTGCCTATCGGAGCAGCCTCCCAACTCCTACTTGCATGCAAGCAGGAGAGGGCAGGGATCTCTCAGTTAGGCAACGGGAAGCCTCCCTTCCCAGCTGAGAGATCCCTGCCCCTTCCTGCTTGCACGAAAGTAGGAATGGGATTGGGGCTGCTCCGTTGAAAAGGGAGGCATTGCACTGCCTGAGAGATCCCTGCCCCCTCCTGCTTGCACACAAGTAGGAGTTGGGATGGGGCTGCTCCAAAATCCAGTGTGAAGCCTCCCTTCCCAGCTGAGGGTTCACTGCCCTTTCCTGTTTGCACACAAGTAGGAATGGGATTGGGGCTGCTCTGATGGGAAGGGAGGCATCGCGTTGCCCGAACCTCACCACAGCCGCCGCTCTCGGCTCTCCTTCTCCGCCTTCCATGCCTGACCCACCGCACATCACTTCCCCACCACCACCGCCCAAAAACCCACAACTCAGGGGCTGCCCAGGCTCAGGGAGAAAGGAGACAGAAGCCTCGGAGGAAGGGGAAACATGGCGGTTGAGGTCAAGGTGGCGGCTGCCCCTCTGCCACCGCCATCGCTGCAGCATCAATGTCCCGGACATATAGTATTGATTGATTGATTGTGTCCACGGAGTCATTGAAAAAAATCTGGTAACCTTACACTTGGAAAGGAATGAGGGGGTATTAGCATGTTGGGGAGAAAGCCAAGCTTTGCAGAAGTGTAAAAAATATTTTGCCAAGACAGGGGGGACGGGAGCAAAACTGTGGAATAACCATCTTCATATGAGCAACATGCTAAAGTCGAATTAATGCATGAAGGAGTTAATACCATGGAGTAAGCTGTTGCTGCCAGGCTTAGCTATGTCACTTCCCTTACCTTGGGAGGAAATAGGAAAGTCTACTGTTCCTCCCAGTCTACCTGAGAAACTGGTTGCTTCAGCTCAGCTGCATGGCTCTCACCAGCCGCTCTTGAGTTTCACTGCCTGTGCAACTTTTCTGACTGATGTATGGAAAAGCACATGAACCAGACATTTGAAGAGTTTGTAAGTAAACCCATTTTTAACTTACCAAACATGTAGTCTTTTCCTATTGTGGGGGAAGAGGGAAATTTTGGGAATCACTTGGAAGTGAATATTTTAAAGGCCTAACAGCTTATATTTCCATGCTTTCCTTTGCTGCATATTTTGTGACTTTAAATCTCTGCTGGGCTTCTCTCACTAATGAGTGCTTGTCCCATACTTTGGTCTTGGCATCTAGGAGTTATCCTACACACACACACACACACACACACACACACATACACCGTGGTACCTCTGGTACCGTTCTGGAGGCCCGTTCGTAACATGAAAAGCGCGCAACCCGCAGCGGCGCATCTGTGCACACACGGGTTGCGATTCGCCGCTTCTGCACATGCGTGCGACGTAATTTTGTGCTTCTACGCATGCGCGAGCGGTGAAATCCGGAAGTAACCCTTTCTGGTACTTCCAGGACACCGCAGGATGTAACCTGAAAGAACATAACATGAAGCGGACGTAACATGAGGTAGGACTGTGTATATATATATATATATATATATATATATATATATATATAGTGGTACCTCAGGTTAAGTACTTAATTCGTTCCGGAGGTCTGTACTTAACCTGAAACTGTTCTTAACCTGAAGCACCACTTTAGCTAATGGGGCCTCCTGCGGCTGCCGCACTGCCGGAGCACGATTTCTGTTCTCATCCTGAAGCAAAGTTCTTAACCTGAAGCACTATTTCTGGGCAACCTGAAGTGGATTTAACCTGAAGTGTATGTAACCACTGTGTGTGTGTGTGTGTGTGTGTGTGTATATATATATATATATATATATATATACACACCAACTGAAGGGACGCGGGTGGTGCTGTGGGTTAAACCGCAGAGCCTAGGGCTTGCTGATCAGAAGGTCGGCGGTTCGAATCCCCGCCACGGGGTGAGCTCCCGTTGCTCGGTCCCTGCTCCTGCCCACCTAGCAGTTTGAAAGCACGTCGAAGTGCAAGTAGATAAATAGGTACCACTCCGGCGGGAAGGTAAATGGCGTTTCCGTGCGCTGCTCTGGTTCGCCAGAAGCAGCTTAGTCCTGCTGGCCACATGACCCGGAAGCTGTACGCCGGCTCCCTCGGCCAATAAAGCGAGATGAGCGCCACAACCCCAGAGTCGTCCGCAACTGGACCTCATGGTCAGGGGTCCCTTTACCTTTACCAACTGAAACAAAGTGGGCAACGCAGCCTCTTTCCCCAAAACCACTTGAATGTCTGCTATGGGGAAATGATGATAAAATAGGGAACGGAGAGGGGTGTGTGGAATGGAATATCTTAGTGAAGGGCAAGGTTGGCTGGCAGCTGAACAGAAAAAAATCACTGAAATGTTTTGTTACATAATCGAAGGAGCAACAACGAATGTCTGCCACAGGGTATGAGAAGCAAGGACCATCAGAGCTGTTGGGGCAGCTCCTCCGCCATCTTCCCTAGAGCTCCATGTGACCTGAGGGAAGTCAGAAATGGAGGGTAACACAGTTGGCCTGAGGGGATTCTTGTCACTCTACATTTTATAGGATGTATTCGTTTTTGTGTTTTTCACGGTAAATCACCTGGATGCCTTGGCAGAAGGCAGTCCGTAACCCCAATAAAATGTACCTTATTTTTCCATCTATAAGACGCCCCATATATAAGGCACCCCCTATTTTTGGGGACTCCGATTTAAGAAAAGAGGGGAAGATCTATCTGTGTATAAGACGCCCCCCAATTTCAGACATTATTTTTTAGGGGGGGGACCTAGTCTTATACACAGAAAAATACTGTATATCAACGGGCTGGAAAAGGCTCTGTCTAGGCCCAGAAAACATGGCGGACACTTCCTCATGCTTTCTCTCACTGAGGTAGGCAGGCAGGATGCTGATCCAAACAGAGAGCCCCCTGCCTTGACTGGAAATAATGGAAATAATAATAATAATAATAATTAGAAACTCAAGAGAATTTGCTTTAATGAGGGCCTGCGTCATGTGATGCGAACAATTTCCCACCCCACCCCTCATGGTCGTTTTTTCTTTTTCTTCTTCTTTTGGTATGTTTTTTGTCCCACAACACAGGTTTCCACTTGAGGAGAACTGGGGTTGGGATGGGAGACCGGGGTGCGAGGGGAGAGAGAGAGAGAGAGAGAGAGAGAGAGAGATGTACGAATGCTAGATAGCTGGAAGGGTTGGCGAATCTACAGCGCTTATATAACATAGTACAGCGGACAGTTCCGTCTCCGGGGGTCTCGAGGAAGGGAAGGCTGGCCGAGAAGCCCCCTTTTCCGCCGCCGCCGCCACCCTCGCGGCCGCCTCGGCCTTCGCCCGGACCCCTCCCTCCCCGTCCCTTATCACTTTCGCCGGCCGATCTGCGCCATCAGTTGAGCGTTGGCCTCCGCCTTGGCCCTCATGTTCTTGGCCTTGGCGATGCTAAAGAGGATGTTCATGATGTTGGTGGGGACGTCGAGCGAGAGGGTGACCTTCGAGCGCCGGTCGCCCTTCGCCGGTACACCTTGGTACACCTTGCCTTTCCCTTGCGCCTGGGCAAGGTATCGGTAGCGGGTGACGGCCGGGAACGTCCTTTTGTCCTTGTCCTCCTCGGCTTCCTCTTGGGTGTCCTCCAAGGAGAGGTCTTCTTCGGCCACCCGTGGATACTTGAAGCTCCTCTTGCCCAGGATGGAGTTCTCGCCCGGGAGACCTTTCCGAGCCTCGGACAGAGCCGTGTCGACGCAGCCAAAGATGGACTCAGCCTTGTACAACTTGAGCGAGAGGCTCGTCCGTGCGGCAAAGAGGATCAGGAAGAGGATGAGGAGCCTGGGGCGAGTCATCGTCCTGGAGGCCCTGCGCCACAAGGAAGGGAGAGAGGCACATCAGTTTGGGGACAATAATAATAATAATTTTTTATTTATACCCCGCCCATCTGGCTGGGCTTCCCCAGCCCCTTTGGGCGGCTTCCCACCAAATATTAAAATGCAGTAATACAGTGGTACCTCGGGTTAAGTACTTAATTCGTTCCGGAGGTCCGTACTGAACCTGAAACTGTTCTTAACCTGAAGCACCACTTTAGCTAATGGGGCCTCCCTCTGCCGCCGCACCACCGGAGCACGATTTCTGTTCTCATCCTGAAGCAAAGTTCTTAACCTGAGGTACTATTTCTGGGTTAGCGGAGTCTGTAACCTGAAGCGTATGTAACCTGAAGCGTATGTAACCGGAGGTACCACTGTAAATCAAACATTAAAAGCTTCCCTAAACAGGGCTGCCTTCAGATGTCTTCTAAAAGTCCGATAATTGTTTTTCTCTTTGACATCTAGTGCGAGGGCATTCCACAGGGCGGGTGCCACCACCGAGAAGGCCCTCTGCCTGGTTCCCTGTAACTTGGCTTTTCGCAGTGAGGGAACCGCCAGAAGGCCCTCGGTGCTGGACCTCAGTGTCCGGGCAGAACGATGGGGGTGGAGACGCCCTTCAGGTATACTGGGCTGAGGCCGTTTAGGGCTTTCAAGGTCAGCACCAACACTTTGAATTGTGCTCAGAAACGTACTGGGAGCCAATGTAGGTCTTGCAATGGATGGACACAGTGCAAATCTGTTGAGGGCTGACGGCGAGAGAACATGAATGGACGAATACAGACAAGGGGATTTCGACTGGATCCATGATCAGGAAGGATGGGCGGATGGGGCTGTTTTTGTTTCTCTCCGCTTTTCATCCTTCCCTTCATAAGATTGGCCTGCCCCGTTTCCACACGGAAAGCCCCCGTTAAAATGTGTATCCTATTGCATGAGACTTTCTCCTAATATGCAATTTTTTTCTATGCAAATTTGTTCAGTACAGTACATGCATTTTTTAAAAAGCAGTTTGTTCTAACATTAGCATTTTTGTACCCTCTGGCACCTTGAAGCCAGAATGCAGGACGCCATCTTTGCGGACGCCATCTTCCCATTCTTATGGTGGCCATTTTGGTAACCATGAGCTTGTGCAAATTTGCACCGTGGTTCCCTCCAAAAGCGCTTTCCCCAGGCATGACGCCCAAAAATGTGCATTTTGGAGCATCGCGTGAGATCGCGGCCCAGGAAAAGTGCTTTATTCGGGGGGAAATTGTGCCATGAAATCACGCAAGAGCAACCAAAATGGTCGCCATTCTCTCACGATAAAAAAAAAGGATGTCCAATTTTTTTGGGACACTTGTAGGATATGCATTTTTGTATGCTCCCACCTCAGAATATACAGGACTGCAGCCAACTAAGAATAGGAACAGACCCACTGAAATTTATTCCCCCAAGTTATTTTGTTTGTTTGTTTGTTTATTACATTTATATGCCACCTTCAAGGTGGGATTTGGGGTTCTTGCCCTCCTCATTTAATCCCACAATAGCCCTGTGAGGTAAGATAGGTTGAGAGGTCACCATGTGAGTTTTATGCTGAGTAGAGATTTGAACCCTGGTCTCCCACTTCCTAGTCCGACACTCTAACCACTGCCCCTCACTGTCTCTCTCCTCACCATTAATTTAAATGGGTATACTCTGTGTAGATCTCGCATTGGAGATGGTTGGATGTACTTTCTCCTAGCACACTCCCATTCTTTGGCTGGGGAGCTGCAGAGCAAAATTAGAAGAAGAATGAATTTCAAAAAATATATACATATTGGCTTGTATGTATGTTCAATACGTTCAGGATGTGCAAAATTGGTGGGTTCACATGAAAACGCCAACCAAACGGATCTCTTCCCCACTACTTAACTATCCGTCCTTTTTACCGTATCACCGAAATAGTCCTCTCAATACAAGATAACACTTTAAAAAACAAGTTTCTTTTCTTCTTTTTAAAACTCCACAATTGCTCACATTTTACATGCTAACACGACAACAATTTTTTCCCCATTTAAGTGTATACATTATTCATCTTTCACATTAGTGGGAAGTAATTTGAGCTTTTGATAACAGGAAACCCGAGAACAAAGGAATGTTCTTAAGTGTTCCTGGTTTTTGGAAAGGAACAACTCAGGAACGCAATATCTCAAGGACCACCTCTCCCCTTATGAACTGACTTGGACCCTGTGATCATCATGCGAGGCTCTTCTTCGTGTTGCTCCTTCATGAGAAATCTGGAGTTTGGCAACATGAGAACGGGGCCTTTTTGGCGGCGGCCCCCTGTTTGTGGAATGCTGTCCCCAGCGAGGCTCACCTGTCACCTTCATTATATATCTTATATTATCATTATATTATCAATATGTTATGCATTTTGTGTTTTGTATTGTAAGCTGCCCTGTGATTTTTGGATGAAGGGTGGTTTATTTCAGGGGTCAGCAAACGTTTTTCAGCAGGGGGCTGGTCCACTGCCCCTCAGACCTTGTGGGGAGCCGGACTATATTTTTTGGGGGGGAAAGTGAACGAATTCCTATGCCCCACAAATAACCCAGAGATGCATTTTAAATAAAAGGACACATTCTACTCATGTAAAGACACGCTGATTTCCGGACCGTCCGCGGGCCGGATTTAGAAGGCAATTGGGCCGGATTCAGCCCCCGGGCCTTAGTTTGCCTACCCATCGTCTATTTAAATAAAGAAGGAAGTTGTGGTTATTAGGCTCCACCTAGTGGCCATAACTGGGAACAGCAATCTATACCAGCGAGCCATTCAGAAAACAGTAAATTTGCTTTTGCTGGGAATAAGGGAGCTAAGTAGAATCTGCTTCATGAGTCCTGATGCGTGTGCAGAAAGTTCCCCTCAACTGTGGAAGAGCAGTCAAACATATGAAGCCTGCCCCAACACATACTCCTCACCAGGGCTATTTTTCTAGAAAAACAGCTGCCAGAACTCACCATGAACTCACCCTCGTTCTCCTATCATGGCAATGGCACCCACCCAAGAGGTGCTGGAACTGAGTCCTGGTGAATTCTGGCTGGGAAAACTCCCAAAACCCTGCTCCTCACTCATCACCCTCCTGCGATATGAAATGGCACAATTCCTGGAGAAGTTTTGATACTTAGGAACACAGAAAGTTGCTTTGTACTGAGTCAGACCCCTAGGTCCATCAAGCTCAGTATTAGCTAGACATTGAAGCTTCAGGCATAAGAACATGTTGCAGGAATTTATGTATAGGTTGAGGGGGTTGCCCCTCCAGCAGATATCATGCACATGCAGCCCACTACCAAAATTAGCACAATCACCTTTGTGACTTTTGTGATTTGTCCCCACAAAACACTTCATCACCGTTTCTTCCTATCTATTCAAAGGGCCTTTGCTGCAATACCAAATGTAAGAATTCACTGATAAATGTATCTATGGACTGGCTCACTGAAAAAACATCAGAAATTCATATAGACATGTGAGCTCAGCTGCTCAGCAGCCCCTCTGCCTGAGTGATAATCCCTGGCATCCTGATACCTGAGTGCCAGACAGGTAGCTATTCCAGAAAGAACCAACCCAGATGAAGACAAAAGGGTGTGATTCACTTGGCTGGGAAACAGGGAAATGTAAATATCTCTTTTGTTCCACTTGATGGGTGTTTGGTGGAGGGCAAGGGGAACCATGGGGCAGGGTCCAGGATGCTCAGATTCCTGCCACCAGACCTCCCCTTTCATGATGTATTAGTAATGTAGTTTGGAGGGTGTAACATGGGGATTAGCAGCTAATAAAAGTTTGGGGGCTCTTTTGTTCGGGGCTTCCATCTTGTTCCACCTTGTGGCAGGTGGGAGTCTTCAATAAAGACCAAGCCTACTGGCTGCTGTTTTGCTCTGGTATTCCTGGCTGGTGTCCTTGTTTTTTGTCCAAGGGAGCCCTCACATTTCTTGGTTAACAAACATAAGGGCTCTTCTGGATTTAACCAACGGCCCATTTAGTCTAGCACTCTGTTCTCACATGCCATCATGACTGGTCACCATTTATAGCCTTAAATGTGTCAGGTATATTGAGGATCCCAGCACAATGTGTCTATGTAACAAAATATCGGTGCAGGAAGTTTGCAAGAATTGCTGAGAGAGACTCCTTCCTTGCCCCTCTTATAAGCAACATAAAAGCTGCTGTCACAATCGGCTTACTTATCAGTGCTATAAAAGGCAGACATCTTATAGCTGCCTTATATGAAAGTCAGACTATGGGTCCGAGTATTTATTGTCTAGGGACGAGGGTGGTGCTGTGGGTTAAACCACAGAGCCTTGGACTTGCCGATCAGAAGGTCGGCGGTTCAAATCCCCGCAACGGGGTGAGCTCGGTCCCATTGCTCGGTCCCTGCTCCTGCCAACCTAGCAAGGACCGAGAAAGCACGTCAAAGTGCAAGTAGATAAATAGGTACCGCTCCGGCGGGAAGGTAAATGGCGTTTCCATGCGCTGCTCTGGTTTGCCAGAAGCGGCTTAGTCCTGCTGGCCACATGACCCGGAAGCTGTACGCCGGCTCCCTCAGCCAGTAAAGCGAGATGAGCGCTGCAACCCCAGAGTTGGTCACAACTGGACCTAATGGTCAGAGGTCCCTTTACCTTTACCTTTACCTTTATTTATTGTCTAACACTGATCAGCAATGCACACTTCGTTGCTTTATACCGGCTTTGCCATGTGTTCACTTTCAACCGTTAGCCTCTATAAATTCTTTATCCACCTTGCAGTAGAGAATTATTCATTGCTATGTATTTTATAATGTATGATCGTGTTGCTAGGGATGGTGTGCACTTAAAAAACCCAACCCAAAACATCTGAAAATACTACTGCCATACAGTGGCGGCTGCTTATGTGATTGTTGCCATGCGATTGCGTTGGAAAGTTTATGATATTTTTTGCGAATTGCCATATTTTAATCGATAGTTTGATTCGTGCAGACTTTAAATGTTCATACAAATAAAGTCGTGCTGTTTGCTGGATTGCTTTGCAAACGATTTAGAATTTGATTAAGAACATAGGAATCTGTGCCACTGAGTTCTAGCCCCTTCCCAAAGGAAAACCACCAAATATAGGTTATTGACCCAACAAGGTTTCTAATATGACATCAGCTCTGTCGCTCACAAGCCAGCTTCCTTAACCACCCTGCTTTCGAATCTTCTCCCTCGACAGAACATCTTGAGCACCCTCAAAGCTTTTAAATTCTCACCAGCTCTCTACTCATCCTAAAATCTCCTCTCCTCACTATCCCCTCCCTTCTTTTTGGAATTCCTCATTTGAATGAAAGCGTAAGAACCCCCCCCCCACTTCTTGTTTCATGGAATCTTAAGGACAATAAATCCCAGCTTTGTACTCAGTCAGGCTGCAGAAAGAGAGACAGAAGCTTCTGAAAGAGTGGAAGGCTATACAGTGGTACCTCAGGTTAAGTACTTAATTCGTTCCGGAGGTCTGTTCTTAACCTGAAACTGTTCTTAACCTGAAGCACCACTTTAGCTAATGGGGCCTCCTGCTGCCGCCACGCCGCTGGAGCACAATTTCTGTTCTCATCCTGAAGCAAAGTTCTTAACCCGAGGTACTACTTCTGGGTTAGCAGAGTCTGTAACCTGAAGTGTATTTAACCTGAAGCGTATGTAACCCGAGGCACCACTGTACTGCAGAAGAGAAAGCATAGTTTGAGCATGGATCTAGGAGTCTTGGTTGACCACAAACTTGACATGAGCCAACAGTGTGACGCGGCAGCTAAAAAAGCCAATGCAATTCTGGGCTGCATCAATAGGAGTATAGCATCTAGATCAAGGGAAGTAATAGTGCCACTGTATTCTGCTCTGTTCAGACCTCACCTGGAGTACTGTGTCCAGTTCTGGGCACCACAGTTCAAGAAGGACACTGACAAACTGGAACGTGTCCAGAGGAGGGCAACCAAAATGGTCAAAGGCCTGGAAACGATGCCTTATGAGGAACGACTATGGGAGCTGGGCATGTTTAGCCTGGAGAAGAGGAGGTTAAGGGGTGATATGATAGCCATGTTCAAATATATAAAAGGATGTCACATAGAGGAGGGAGAAAGGTTGTTTTCTGCTGCTCCAGAGAAGCGGACACGGAGCAATGGATCCAAACTCCAAGAAAGAAGATTCCACCTAAACATTGGAAGAACTTCCTGACAGTAAGAGCTGTTCGACAGTGGAATTTGCTGCCACGGAGTGTGGTGAGTCTCCTTCTTTGGAGGTCTTAAACCAGAGGCTTGACAACCATATGTCAGGAGTGCTCTGATGGTGTTTCCTGCTTGGCAGGGGGTTGGACTCGATGGCCCTTGGGGTCTCTTCCAACTCTATGATTCTATGAGCACACTTATTTTCTTTTGCCCTGCTGGGTAATTAAAAGTGGAGAAGACAAAATAAGCCTGAGGAATGAGGATCCTCCTTCTTCCCACTGCCCCACGTTAGGTAGGTCTACTTTGACTCCGTTGGAGAGAGATTAAAGAAATTCTACAGGGACATCTGCTAGATTGGAGCAAAGGTCTACCTAATAATAATAATAATAATAAATTTTTATTTATACCCCGCCCTTCCCTGTTCAGAAAACTGGGCTCAGGGCGGCTAACAACAAATTTAAAACACTTAATTGATACGACAAAAAACAGCTTAAAATACAGTATAAAACGTGAATAACAATATATTCAGAATTCAAAAATCAGTTTAGGGGGGAAATCCATCCAATAAACATTGGATGACCACCAGGGCTAGCTGGCTAGTCATAGGAAGGTGTTTTATACTGAGCCAAACCAGTTATGCAGCTAGTTCAGTACTGACTGCATTGACTGCCAGTGGCTCTGCAAGGTTTCAGACCAGGGATATTCCCAGCCCCACCTGGAGATGTTGGGAGTTGAACTTAGGACCTCCTGCATGCAGGGCAGACACTCTGCCTCTGAGCTACAGCCCTTCCAGTTGGAAAAAGATTTGGCAAAGTGCATCTTTACAGTAGACACGTACTCCACTGGGAATCCTCCAAGCTATCGCCATCTCCAGCCCCTGCCCAGCAACTAGTCCTTGAAAGAACACGTTCACAGGAAATCATTTTAGCCTCCGTGCCTAATGCCAACTGATAGATCTATGTGGGTTTATCCATAGTCCATTAGAAGCCTTTCAGATCTGGTGGCTCTGGCCAAAGTGGCCGTGAACCCACAAGCCAGCGATGCTTTTGCAGCAGAGATTGAGGAGTCTGTGACTCTAGGGATGCTTCTAGGCTACTGTTCCATTCACCCCTATTGGCTGTGCTGGCTGGTGCTGATGAGAGTTGGAGCACAGCAAGATCTGGAAGACGAGAACTTCCCCATCCCTGCACTGCAGTGAAAGAAAGGTCCTTTCCTTGCATCTGCCCTGATTCGAACACAGGTCCGTTCCGTTGGGTGGTCCTTGAGGTCTAGTGTTGCAGGCAAGGAAGGAAAACTCATTCCTCTCTCTGTCCCTCTCTCTGCTTTCTCTGAACTGCTATATCTTTTAAAAACTACAAAACCTCTAGCACAACCTTCAGCACACTGGTGCTCTCCAGGTATCTTGGACTACAACTCGCATGAGTTGGACATTTGCACGTGGGCTAATGGGAATTGTAGTCTAAAGCATCGGAAGAGTGTCACACTGGGGGAGGCTTCTCCTCCTTAGTCCCGGCCACCCCCCATTTAAATGAATAAAGAAACTCAGATTCTGGGAATACTTATGCAAAACTGGCCAAAGAAGGTCGTGCAGGGTTCGGTCTGGAGGCAAACTTTCGGTGCTCCTTTGCATGGTCTGAGAATTCAAGGTGGCATCAAAACTGCATTGTCTCTGTTGTCTCTCTCCAGCAGTTTAGCCATGAAACGTTGTGCTTGTTCTTTTTCAAAAAAACCCAACAACCAGCAAGCCAACCCTGCAAGACTGGTTTGACTGGGGATGACAGCTGGACCAAATGAAAAAGCACAAGTGCACTCTGAGAAACGATCTCTGATCGTCACATACAACCTTCAGCTGCCTTTTAGAAGAAATGCAAAGGAAACCTGGAAAATCTGAGAAGAGACAGCAGTGGGATGACACCATGGACAGCGATTGGCGGGGTGCGAAGGGACTTGTTCGTTTCCTATGCTAAGAGCATTGCAGGTGTGTTGAAGGCTAGAGAACCCACAGTCTCCCTAGACAGCTTCTTATTCCATTCATTACTGGATCACTTGGAGCACAGCCTTTGACAGGAACCATAGAACCATAGAATTGTAGAGGTGGAAGGGACACCAACGGTCATCCAGTCCACCCCCAGCAAGGCAGGAATCTCAGCCTGTGGTCCCCTTCCAGTTTGAAACCACACCGGACCCTGCTTAGCTTTGCAAATGCGCTCGCAGTTTTAACAACCTGCTGTGGGCTCCTGCAGCACCCATTCATTTCAATGGGGGCAAGAGCATTCCCCATCGAACTGTCTTAACTTCTCCTGCATCTAATTTTTAACCCTAAATCCACCTGATTCACCATTTCCTCCTGTTGCCACTTATCCTCAGTAGATAGCAACCATTCCCCCTCCAGCTGCCCCTTTAAAATATTATCAACCCCCCAAACCTTTCTTCTTTCTGGAGTTAAGCAACTTTCTTCCATCCTTTCTTATCACTTGCTTCTTGGAGCCATGGTGATCTTTTAAACTATTTTTTTTGTTCTTGCCGGTGTCCGCTTCGGAAGAGAGTATAACGATTATTTATCGCACGAATCAAAGTCCACCTTCTAGGTGACCGATGTCGAAACTACACTTCAGCCCCAGAGATGCTGCTTCTCTTAATACTCTTAAATTAGTCTCCAGTATTAAAACCAACGCTTCCTTTATTTCCCCCCTCTTTTCTTTTTTACCTGCCTGGAAACTCTGCGACCTGCAAGGCACACTGGAGTATTAAATCTTTTTCCTTTCCGTTTTTTAAAAATATTTATTTTGCAAGCAAAGTCTGCCCGTGCTTTCCCCCCTAAAAGAAGCAGGCTAACGAAATCCACTTACCTGTGATTCTGCTGTGTAGCTAGGAGAGTGTGAGTCCTCTCAGTCAGTGCTGCAAGGAAGCTGTCTCAGGACGAGAGAGACACATTAAACCTGAACTTCAATCCTTTTCCCTGGCTATGATTGTTGTTAAAGAGCTGGCAATATGGGGGTGTTTTCCCCCCTCTTTTATTCTCTCTATGGAAACACCTCCTCTCCTCTCCTCCCCACCTCACTGCTTCTCTTCAGTATATATGGGGAAAAAATAAAGAGAGAGAGGAAGTGATCACGGGGTTTAAAGCGTAAATCCAAAGAGGTAGGGATCTTATTAGGACATGATTTCATCTGAATGAAATCAGAAGAGCTGGCGACGTCACGGAACAGAGGCACCCTCCCTGTTTTTTTTTGGGTGGGGGGAAAGGTTGTTGCAACACCTTACGTCAATGGCCTTCAGACACAGGCCACCTTTAGCCCTAACCTACAGAGCCTAGGACTTGTCAATCAGAAGGTTGGCAGTTCGAATCCCCGCAATGGGGTGAGCTCCCGTTGCTCGGTCCCTGCTCCTGCCAACCTAGCAGTTCGAAAGCACAAAGGTGCAAGTAGATATATAGGTACCACTCCGGCGGGAAGGTGAATGGCGTTTCCGTGCGCTGCTCTGGTTCGCCAGAAGCAGCTTAGTCATGCTGGCAACATGACCCGGAAGCTGTACGCCGGCTCCCTCGGCCAGTAAAGCGAGATGAGCGCCGCAACAACCAGAGTCAGCCAGGACTGGACCTAATGGTCAGGGCTCCCTTTGCCTTTAGCTAAAAATAGGGCCCTGCCTCAGTTATCTCCCTTCCTTCCTTCCTTTGCCCATCTGAGAAATAATATCGCAACGGCTCAAACAGGTGCAACTGAAATGATCAAGGTGTCAAAGCGCCTTCCTTTTGGAGGAAGGCGAAAGTTTTTGGTGGGGGTGGTTGTTTAGATCAAGGTGGGGGAAGCTGTCGCGAAGTCACAAACGACACAGAGAGGTGATTTTGTTCTCCTTCTCTCGTAATACAGAAATCCATTGAGATGGATTGGCTGCGGATTCGGGAGGACCAGCCTGAGGAGAAAAGACTGTAAGGAGAGCAGAGATCAGGAAGAAATTAAATCTGTTTGCCTCTGGATGAGAAACTGTCCCATTGACAATTATGCAACGTGTGTTTGTGTGTATAAAATAGAGAAGGGTGAATGTGTCAGTTTCAGTTCCCGTCAATTTCTCATTTTTCCAATCTTCAGTTCCATAGCTGTCAACGTTTCCTTTTTTTAAAGGGAAATTCCCTTATTCCGGATAGGATTCCTCGCAAGAAAAGGGAAAAGTTGACAGCTATGCACTTCTCCACATTTCCACGTTAGTTTGTGATTTTTAAAAAGTCTCATGAAAATTCATCTGCATTTTAGTGCGTATCCCTCCTCATATCCACCTCTTTCCATGCAATCTTTTTTCTAATGTGCGCAATTTTTTTGCAAAGAAAATGTCCCCTTCTTCTTCTTCTTTGGCGATCACTCGTAGCCGAGTAAGATTGTCTTCCATAAACACGGTTTTAACAATGAGTCCGTAAGTGACTGTGAAGGCCAATTCTGGATCCACACATCCTTCCACAGTGGGTACATTGGTTTCTGGGCGGGAGTTGATCATGGTGTGGATTTGCCAAGACTGCCTTCCTCTTAGCATGTTTCTCCATTGTGTCCTGAGTTCGAGTGTCTTCCAAGCCCATGACACCTTTGGTAAAGGCTGTTCTCCAACTGGAGCACTCACAGGCAAGTGTTTCCCAGTTGTTGGTGTTTATACTACATTTTTAAAGATTTGCCTTGAGGCAGTCTTTAAACCCTAATATATTGTCCCCTAATATATTGTTCAAAAGGGACGCGGGTGGCGCTGTGGGTTAAACCACAGAGCCTAGGACTTGCCGATCAGAAGGTCGGCGGTTCGAATCCCCGTGATGGGGTGAGTTCCCGTTGCTCGGTCCCTGCTCCTGCCAACCTAGCAGTTCGAAAGTACCGCAAAGTGCAAGTAGATAAATAGGTACTGCTCCGGCAGGAAGGTAAACTGCGACCAAGGCAGTTTCAGTCCCAGGTAAAGGTAAAGGGACCCCTGACCATTAGGCCCAGTCGTGACCTCACTTTATTGGCCGAGGGAGCCGGCGTACGGCTTCCGGGTCATGTGGCCAGCATGACTAAGCCTGGCGAACCAGAGCACAGAAATGCCTTCACCTTCCCGCTGGAGCGGTACCTATTTATCTACTTGCACTTTGACGTGCTTTCGAACTGCTAGGTGGGCAGGAGCAGGGACCGAGCATCGCGGGGATTCGAACCGCCGACCTTCTGATCGGTAAGTCCTAGGCTCTGTGGTTTAACCCACAGCGTCACCTGCGTCCCAGGGGTCCCTATACCTTTACCTTTAATATTAGTTCTCACTAATATATACATTTTTAACGCCCACTATGCCACAGCATATGCGTTTTTTTTAGGTAGGTTGCTTGGCTGGAGAACCACATTTTGGTTTGTGTAGTTTAAATGCAAACTGCATCCAGTTACTCCCCTCTCCCTAGTCTGTACTGCCTCTGAGAGCACAGCCTGCAAGAGTCTCAATGCTTTTCTGTGCTGGAGAGCCATATTATTGCTGTGACGTATGAGCTACCCCACGATGAGGCTCCCATCCTGAGGAACGCTGTGCAAAGATGCTATCTACATGCCAGACATGAAGGCTTCAGTCCAGAGATGATTTTGTCCGTGACATCAGAACGAGAGGATACAGTCCATTAAGGGAAAGAAAAGATTCAGAAACCCATCGTATCTATTTTATCACTCCCAATCAGCCTCAAGTGCAAATGAGAAAAGCTCTAGCCGGTATTTGTGAAGTGTTACTTTCTGCTTTCCTTTGTACCACATATGCCAGGGGTCGACAAACTATGGCCTGCAGGCTCGTAAGGGAC